TTTAAGACTACCACCATGGCATATATAGGTCTTGTTGTTGTTGTTGTTGTTAAGTGCCATCGAGTCGGGTCCGACCCATAGCGACCCTGTACAGGGTTTCCGAGGGTGTAAATCCTTACGGGAGTAGAAAGCCTCATCTTTCTCCCGCGGAGCGGCTGGTAGTTTTGAACCGCTGACCTTAAGGTTCGCAGCCCGATTCGTAACCACTACACTAGCTGAGACTATTTCTACAGACATATTTGTATGTGCTTTTAACATACCTCATGGGGCCCTGGTAGCATAGTGGGTTTGCAGTTGGGCTGCTAACCGCAAGCTCAGCAGTTCGAATCTACCAGCTGCTTTGTGGGAGAATGATTTGAGGCGTCGGAAATCCTATACAAGGTGGCTGAGTCAGAATCGACTGAACAGCACACAACCACCACAGCTACCACTATAGCAGAGCAATGTTATTGTTGTGGTTGTTAAATGCCATCGAGTTGGTTCCTACCCATAGCAATCCATAACTGTTGGTACATGGAGGAGATTGCAGTTGTTGAGATGAAACAAAGTGTATGATTTATTGAATGTGAAATGGATGATCTTGTCTGTAAACCTTCATTCAATTCACAATAGAATATTTAAGTTTTATTGTTATGTGCTATGGTGGAGTTAGTTTCAACTCACAGCAACCCTGCATAGGGTTTCCAAGGCTGTAAATCTTTCCAGAAGCAGAAAGCCTCATCTTTCTCCTGCGGAATGACTAGTAGTTTCAAACTGCTGACCTTGAGGTTAGCAGCCCAATTCATAACCACTACGCTACCAGAGCTCTTTTTGGTTTTGGTAGCAGTCACCATCTAGTTCTTCTGGTCTGAGAATTGTAGATCCTGATGTTCCCATGTTCCATGAGTCCACTGGATTAATTGATTCCAAACCTCTTCATTTCTCATCACTGTTCTTTGTTCCACACATGGAGAGACCAATAGCTGCACTTTAGATGCTTTCAAGATCCCAGACGCTAATCATAAAAGTAGGATATAGAAAGAACATTGTCTTGGTGGACTAAATTCTGCCAATTGACCGTAGTGTCCCTGAGGCTATGGTCCTCAGCCCCCAGGCCTAGCAACTCATCCCCTGAAGATGTTTGATAAGATCTAGAAAGTTTTCATTGCTCTGTCCACTGTTTGCTCGACCACATTCACAGATGGGTTTTCAGGAGAGGTAAATACCCATGTACAAATAGACTCTTTCAAACCATTATTTCTATGTATATTACTACTTTTCCTCCCATGCCCACTTAGCCCATGTCTCTGTCCATGTATCTACCTACTGTGGTTCCAAGGTTGTGTGGTGGTGGTTGGTGGTGGTGTTGTTATGTGCTGTGGAGTCAGCTCCGACTCATAGCCACCACCCTGTATAGGGTTTCTGAGACTGTAAATCTTTACTGGAGCAGAAAGCCTCATCTTTCTCCTGCGGAACGGCTGGTAGTTTTGAACTGCTGACCTTAAGGTTAGAAGTCCGACTCATAACCACTATGCTACCAGCGCTCCTTCCAAGGTTGTGTGTATATCACTATTTACCTCTGTCCCCTTTAGTCCTTGTGAACCTTCCTGTGTTTTCAGCATTGTTATGCCAACCTCCCTCTTTTTGTATATTGTTCCCCACCCCCCCCCATGTGGCACACTATAGGATAAGCACTGAACTGCTTATCCTTGTGGTCAGTAGTTCAAACCCATAAGCGGCATTCAGAAACCCTATACAGCAGGGGTGGGGAACGTCCAGCTCAAGAAATCATTTGGTCTGGTTCTGCCAAAGCAACTGTAGTTCCAGCCATCACATTAGGGGTGAGTTAGAAGTTTGACTCAAACAAACAGTTCAGTGTTTAACCAAATATAGCAGGCTAATTTTTAAGTGGCTAATTTTGCATAGCCTGCGAATGATGTTATAAATCTTGACAGAAAAAAAAGTTCCCCACCCCTGCTATATAGGGTTGCTATGAGTCAGAACAGCCTCCCCAGCACACAACAATAAACAACAAAAAAACACCCAAGTTAATGTGTGTCTACTTTCCAGCTAGGAGTCCTGGTATAGCGCTGAGGGTTTATGCGTCAGACGGCAAAGCCATTTGAATTGCAAGGTCAGCGGTTCAAGCTCACCAGCTGCTCCTCAGAAATCCTATACAGGGTCACTATGGGTTGGAGCCGACTCGATAGCACTTTATAACAACAACTTTCCAGTCAGTGAATATGGTTCTCCCTTCCCTCCCATGCCTGGTAACTATTAAAGGATGTTTCTTTTAATATGAAAACCTTTTATTGAGTTCTTATAATATTGGTTTCATATAATATTTGTCCTTTTGTGATTGATAGGTATGGTGCTATAGGATAAACCCTGAACTACAAGGTCAGTTTCAACTGCAAAGATTGGCAGTTGAAATCCACTAGCCGCTCCTCAGAAACCATATACAGGGTCACTATGAGTTGGAACCAACTTGACGGCATTAAACAACAACAACAAATTCACTCAGCATAATGTTCTTGTCAGTTTCATCCGTGAATTCACAATAGTTTAAAAAACAACAGCAAAAAACAAGCTGGTGAGCGGCCATACCCATCTAGAGTAAAGAATAATTCAGAAACTCAGAGACTCAAGGAAACAATTAGTCCAAAGAACTAATGAACCACACCAACCAGCTACCACTACCCACCTCTGATTAGGACCACAGAAGGTTCTAGATAGAATGGGAGAAAATATATGACAAAATTCAAAATCATAAAA